AACCGAAACTTTTTGGTGTGAATGCTCTTCGAGGATGCCATCTGCAACAAAAGCTACTGATAAGAATCCATCTATTGGTCGGCCGACTGGCTCTTTACCTGAGGACCACAGACTGAAGCCAGCTTCAACGGCACTCGCAAGTTCAGAGGCCAAAGCTAATGCTTGGGAGAAAGCTCAAATAGAAAAGAGGCCAAAGCTAATGCTTGGGAGAAAGCTCAAATAGAAAAGATTCGAAAATGATACAAGATATGTATTAGTATGAAATAGACATTCAAAAATGCACATAACACAAGAGAGAACAAATTTTATATTTTTTTTTACATTTATATTCAAGAAAATGTCGTGATGATTACAATTTGGCTTCGTTTATTCCAGGTACGAAAAGATGCACTCGGAGGTTAGAGCTTGGGAAAATGAGAAGGAACTGAGGGAGAAACATGAAATGGAGAGGAAAAAGGTTTTTCCCCTATTTGTATCCACTGCTTACATAAAGGGAAGTTGAGGCACAAGATTGATTTATTTACAAGTTGTTAAATTGTTATTGCAGGAAGAACCTGAGCAGAGAAAATCAAGAAACTTGAAACACTACTAGAACAAGATAGCCAGGATTGATCATATAGCACGTGGCGCAAAGGCACAACTTGAGGAGAAACGAAAACATGAAGAGGTTATTGTGATGGAGAAAGCAAGGAAAATTAGATCAACGCTGTCCCCCACCCCCACCCCCTCTTGATTTTCGTATCTAGCTTTCCATTTCATTGAAGAAGAGCGTAAAAAGATTCGGACATTTTTTTTTTCAGTATAAGTTGTGATTTTTTTATGCAGGAGCTTAATGGGAAAAGGATCGTGTACCTGGACAACGCTGCCACGTCGCAGAAGCCTGAAGCTGTGCTGAATGCTCTGCGGAGCTATGACGAAGCTTAAAACTCGAACGTGCATCGTGGGATTCAATATTTGAGGTGATTTAGTTAGGGTGCGTGTGTATGAAAGGCTGGAAAATGGAGTCTTTGTGTAGGCTGTTCATTTGTCGATTTTGTGTTTGTTTACAATTTTTGTTGTTCGTATGTGTTTGTAGCGCCAAGGCAACGGATGAATACGAACTAGCGAGGCAGAAGGTTGCGAATTTCGTAAATGCTACAATGTGCAGGGAGATTGTGTTTACGAGAAATGCTACCGAGGCTATCAACTTGGTGGCTTACAGTTGGGGCCTTACGAATTTGAACAGAGGAGACGAGGTATGATCTTGGTGTATTTTGGCAGTTTAGTTCATAGTGGAATCATTGATGATTTAGAATGTAAGTTGAATTGGGATTTTCACTAAGTGTATAGTTGTAGATAATGAAGGGTCTCTAGTGGTTTTGCTGATTGATTGAAAATTATTTGTATAAATCAATGTGTGATTATGTATAACATTCATGATTTTTCAGGTCATACTTACAGTAGCTGAACATCACAGTGCCATTGTTCCTTGGCAACTTGTCGCACAAAAGGCAGGTGCAGTTTTAAAGTTTGTAACTTTAACAGAAGACGAAGTTCCGGACGTAGAGAAGTTGACGGAAACAGTCTCGAGTCGGACAAAACTTAATGTTGTTCACCATGTCTCGAATGCACTTGGTGTATGAAATTCATGTTTAAGTGATTTTAGTTTTCTTTCCATGTCATTGTCTGGTGCATTAGATTTTTGATGTAGATTCAAAACGACACTGTGTTGAGATACATACATACAAGAATATAAACACAAAGTGCTCAATGCATATACTCAACAAAAACAAATGTTTTGGGGGTACCTAAGGTGTTTTTCCAGGTTAGGCCTTCCCGAAAATCTTATGTAGAAGAAACTCATCAATGGAAATCACGAATGAACTATGCACTGCAAGAGATTCACAGATGGAGATCAACATCCAATCCCTCGCTGCCATCTGTCCTCCCAGCCGCCCTCGACGGCCCCATTTCACCCCAGCCACCGTGCCGTGGCCCCAAGGCCGCCACATGGAACCGGCCATGGTACCCCAGAGGCACACCCGACAAAACCTGAGGCACACCCGCAGAACTTTCCCCGGACACGAAGAACCGCGCTCCGTAAGCACTACCGTTGTTAGTCGCTACTGGGCCGGGCCTGACCCCATGCGGGCTTACGACATGGACTGCCGATCCAGGCCTCACGAAATGGGCCCGCTTAGCCCGCTGGCGCTCCTTCTTGTGCGCGTTTTGGTGGCCTCCCAATGCCTGCGAGTTGGCGAATTTCCGGTGGCAATGCTGGCACTCGAACCTTTTGCTTTCCGCCTGGTTAATGTCGTCGTGTTGGATTTTTCGAATCATCGGGTTTTTTTGGCCGTCGTTTGTGACCGGAAAACCGAAGAGCTTAACCACAGGTGGTGCTGAGGATGAAGTTGAGTTGTAATCTTGATCACATGATGATGAGTGGTCCAATTCCATTAATTTGGTGATATGTTGGGGGAAAAAAAAAAAAAGGAGTAAATAGAATGAACTAATGGAAACTTCTGTAATGGTGCATGTCACATGTAATTTAGAATGTCAATCTTCTTAGGAGTGATGAATTTATAGAGGAAAAAAAAAATAAAAAAAAAATTAGAAAATGCAAAGGGAGAAAAAGGGAATAGAAATCATGAATGGACATGATGAGCAGTAGAATGGGACAGACACTATAAACCCTACATATGATAAAACACACACACACACACACACACAATTTTGTATAAGGTATAGTCACATTGAGATGTGGTGACATTACTCTTCACCTGTAACTTAGGAAATCATGAGAATAATCAAGGCCTAAATTTTTCGCCTTCACCGAGGTTTTAACGAAGAAATTAACGACGCTGAAGTTTATGTATTGTGATTCATGCAAAAAGAGTGAGCCGGTCGATATTTACGCTTAATCGTCTATTCTTTCTTTCTTTCTTTCTTTCTTTGCTTTTCTGTTTTGGTATTTATGTTCTTACAGTTAACACATCCAAGATTAATCACGAAACGATCTTTTTCTTATGAACATTTGGTGAGTTTGTTTCTAGATGTAATAAAATTACATGTTAGTTGAGATTTCAACTTCCACTGACGATGTTCCAAAAGCGAGTAACCTTAAGACACACCAAACATGCGCTCGGCCCTTCATGTCTGCACATTATGATGACCATATCTTGAGCAAAATCCAATCTTTTTGGCCAACTTAATTATCTCCCTAGCTACATCATCATCTTTATCATGCATGTTTCAAAATCCTTTTTTTTTTTTTTCCGGGAGAAACAACTCATGAATCTTTTGCACTATAAGTAAATCGGATTCAAATGGGCTACAGTATAATGAAATATCATTGCCTGTACATTTTTGAAGCTTTTGTTGCACAATGCATGTGAATGGGGTCGCCCCATATATCGTTGTCGTTTCATCTATACATAAGTATAAAACACAAGGTACACAACATTTGTGGAGGCATTGCAAAAAGGTTTCTGCAAGGATAAGCACCAACTCATTGCACTTAGCTGTTTTCGTGATGCGTCTCGATTTGTTGCATTCACAAAGTACAAATAATTCTAAGTCCTTTGCAATAAGTGCATGTGTGCACACAAACACAAGTTGTCCCACTAAGTTTAGACTCACAATTTATAGCAGTGGCATCTTTTTTCCCCCCTTTTTTTTGGTCCTTACAAGATGACATTTGTTGTTGCTCGAATACGACGAAACACAAAAAATGCAGACAAAGAGAGATTGGTGGAGAGAGGCCTAATCCGAGGAATAGTAGTTGGGATTGGGAAGTAGACGTGACCTTAAGGTTGACGAATAACCATGGCCATTGATGTATCATCAATATGTGAATGAGAGTGTATATGATCACTTTTTTCGTGCATCAAACTATACCTATTTTGCCAAAAGTAGCTTCGTCCGACTTTTTTTTTTAGTTAAAAGAGTTGAACTCGAAGCACGTGCATGCTCAAAATATAACCGGCCGACACTCGTAGATCTAACTAAACTTCTGTTTCAAGTGAAAGTTTGTGTTCAAGAAACTGAATTTAGCGTTCGAAAACTCACACGTTTACCGAAATTAAAAAACAAAAAATATATATATAACTATCTTCATTGCCCTTAGTTAGAGTATTACAGTAATGTAAAGCACAAGTACTTAGTATTTGAAGCATGAAAAAACTACGTATTTCTTCTTAGCTGTCAATCCTTCTTAGCTACAGCCAGGGGTAATACTGAGTTTTTCTCTCTTTTTTAAGAGAGATATATTAAATAAGAAAATGCTACTCCCATTACGTAACAATTCTGTCAGGATTTGTAACCATTAGATCATCATGTAATCGTCATGAATAGTTGATCTAACGGTTACAAATTAACCCCGACAGAATGGTTCGTAACGGGACCAACCATAGAATCTCCTTATTAACATAGTGGAAAAATATATTTCAGTAATATTTGCTTTTTGTGAGCTGATACGGGATTTGTAGAGAGTAACATCATTTAAGATTGCAGAATCAAATATATGGGCCACCTAAGCATCTTGTCTATTCATGAACAAAGCACTCTTCAATTTTCATTTATTTTTTTATTTTTTTTTTTTTTCACACCAAAGTACTAATATATTTCTACTTTATATCTGAGCCACTCTCCTACAAACCTCATCTTATAGATAATAATATACATTTTGGTTTGTTTGCTTAAGTGGTGATTGAATGTTGAGCGTTTTATTTGCACTTGATGATTCAAAATTTATATTTAAATGAAATATAATTGTTTCACAAAAAAATAAGTTTTTATTAAATATTAATTTTGCTCTACAATCTCGTCAATGTAATCAAAAAATAAATATAAATCATTATTATATATGTTTACAAAAATACTCATTTTCTCATGTGTTTCTACCTTGTACGATCTCGTGCGATGCACGGTAAGAGATATTCATTAATATTTATAAATTAAAAATAATCAATAAATAATATTTATAAATTAAAACTATTGGATCAATATATAAGATAATTTACCTATATAATTTATTGAAAATGTTATATGAAAATTTAAATTTTACAAAATTACATAAAACATGTCTATTCAAAATTAGGATACAACTCGGTAAACGTAATTGATAATAAATTATATTACATTCATTCCAAAATAAGTGTCATTTAAAACTTTTTATTTAAAAATTCGATTTGACTTCACTGTGATTCCATACAGTAATTATTTTGCTAAAAATTTATCATATATTCTCAGTCTATGTGAATAATATATATATCTTTAAAAGTTATATTATTTTATTAGTTAAAATAATTTATTTTTCATAAACTATCCAAATACAAAAAGTTAAGTAGTTAAATAATTTATTAAACTATATATAACTGATATTTCATTTGCGCCCATAAGTTATGAATAATTACTTATTTGACTTCTAAATTTAGATCTCAAATTTGGATTATGCAGTAAATTTCTTTATATATTTTGTATATATATATATATATATATGTATGTATATATATAGATTGGTTCCAATGCATCCACATTCTTAAAGTAAGGACATGAGACTCATTTTTAGCCACAAGATTTGGTACATCATGTGTGGCCAAGATTTACTCTTTTTATTATTTTAATTATTTAAATATTATTTTGACCCGTTGACTTCCAGCGTTGACCGTTGACTTCCGACGTTAACCGTTGACTTCTGGCGTTGACTTCCAGTGAAATCCGTTGACTTCCGGCGTTGACCGTTGACAACTAACCTTCCAACTAGGTTAGTTCTACGTAGTTGCTAGGTTAGTTCTCTGTAGTTGCTAGGTTAGTTGTCTGAAGTTGCTAGGTTAGTTCTCTGTAGTTGCTAGGTTAGTAGTTGCTAAGTTAGTTCTATATAGTTGCTAGGTTAGTTCTCTGTAGTTGCTAGGTTAGTTCTCTGTAGTTGCTAGATTAGTTCTCTGTAGTTGCTAAGTTAGTTCTATATAGTTGCTAAGTTAGTAGTTGCTAGGTTAGTTCTCTGTAGTTGCTAGGTTCGTAGTAGCTAGGTTAGTTCTCTGTAGTTGCTAGGTTAGTTGTCTGTAGTTGCTAGGTTAGTTGTCTGTAGTTGCTAAGAGTTGTCCGCATTTTAAGAGCTGGCCTCACTTTAAGAGCTGGCCTCATTT